CTGTTTTGATCATGCTGTTGAGAGCGTTTGTTACTTCTAATGCTTTCATTCACGTATCCAATGTAATATTTTTCAGAATAGAACAAGAATTTAGGAACAGAACTCTTTTTATATTGCAATTGAAAGAATAAGTCATGTGGTCAGTCTCATGCTAGTGCATGTATTCGTGCTACTATGAGCGTAGATGAAGAGCACTTTTTCTATAATTTTGTCCACAAAACCTTGTTCTACTCTCAGAAACATCACTTTTTATGTGTAAATGAGAGCATTAGAAGTAATAAAATACCCTGAACGGCATGATTTGAAACAGTTGGAGGCTTGAATAAAGTTCAACGCTGCTCGTGCTGCAATTGCTAATGCGATACATAGATTGCTTACTATGTAGTCAAATACTTAGGTCGACGTATTAATGTTCACTCTGTTCAGAACAATAATGATCAGTTCCTCAGTATTTTTATTAGCAGCGACTAATGAATCAATTAGTACTATTACTACTAATTCATATTTTTTGCGATATAACTAGGAACAATGGCTGTGACTTGTGATGTTTTATCAGGAGGAGATCATTTTATTCGATGTATTTTGAGATACGTTTCTTCATCCCGCTTTTTATTTAAACTTGAGAATGTCAATACGGAAGTAAATAATATATTCTTATCTTATTAGAAAATTCGTCTAAATTTAGTATTGCTCGCGCTAAACTATTGCGATGGAAGAAAAATATCATTCGACCTTTATAATACAAGGAAAATTTGAAGCTTCCGAGAAAATCTGCGAGGGAGAAACTAGACAACTAGGCAATACAAAGACTAGAAATTCGGAACTCGAGAATGTCGAGTGTTCTAGCAAAGTTCATGCAATCCAATACATGTAAAGTCTGCTTTGTTTCCCTTCCGATTTCAGTGAGTTGAATATTTCATTAAAGCTCACAAAATGTCACAAAGGACGAGAAAAAGACTACATTCAAACAGTCAACCTCCCAATTATCTCGTAATCGTCTCGTGTATGATAATTTAAGAAAGACGATTCATCAAAGTTATGATCTAGTTTAACACCTTCTTTTCGGGCTTTGATCTTTAATTTGTTGAGAAGAAAATGAGAGAATCTGTGATAACACTAAATGAATTACTTGTGCAAGTCGAAGTTGAGAAAACACCGTGTTGTCTCATATGACGAAAGTCATTACAATTTATTGAATCAAGACTCAAACTAATACGTAAACTCTATGTTGTTTTTTTTTTATGGAAATCAAACAAATATAGCTGATCGTAGGATATAATTCATGAATTTTCTTCTTTGTCAGTTAGTGATAAATCTTAATTTCAGCTCATAAGAGTCTTGGAGAGACTTTCTCTTTCACTCAAAAACTCTCTTCTCTGGTGTCGAAATTAATGTCAAAAACAATATAGTCATATATAGAAAGCCTCTTGTCTTATATTAGAAAGGACGATTGCGCTGCTATCTAATTGACTCAGGCATATTCTGTCATCGGATTGCTAAATGAATAAACAGTTACAGATGAGATGCTGTAGATTCACTAGATACGGTGTATCTCTTTTATTACTCATTGATTTGTCTAATGTCTCGTTGCTCTTTGTTATTTTGCTTGATGCATTTTGCGAAAAACATATGAAAGCAACCAGCTCTATTTTAAAAATTGACTTTATACTCATTTCATAAAGTTAAATGTCTAGAACTTTCAAGATAAACAATATTTTGCCCCAATAGCTTAATACAGCTTTTTAACCTGTATTATAGAGCAACGAAGCCCTGATTCTGACTTCTATGAGATTTTCAGAACTATAATCAAGATCCTAGAGATCCAATATGAATTTCGGGAATGCAAATTATTATTATAAATGTTCTATAAATCCCACGGAAATCCCAGCAATCCCATGGAAATCCCGGAAATCCCATGGAAATCCCGGAAATCCTGGAAATCCCGGCAATCCGAAATCCGCCGTTTCCCCCTTGGATTTGTATGATTCACTTTTTAGAATACTCATAACTCTCGGATTTAAATCCGAAGTTTCCGCATTTATTTGGTATAAGAAACGAAATTGTCATTTTAATCAAAGTGTTGAGTCTCATCTTTAGTTTTAAGAAGATGCAAGTTGTGCGACTAACCAATGACTAACCTGTTGTCAAAACAAACTAGTCTCCATTGCAGCACCATTAATGTGAAAAGTTTCGCAATGGATATGAAAATTGGATGAAAGTCTTTGTCTTAGGTTATATTCGCACTCATACGCCGTAGTTTGGATGTGAAAACCAATGACAATATATATTTTCAGTGTACTCTTTTGAATGTGTATTACATAAAATGAGGAAGCAGTATTCTAGCGACACAAATGTTGTAAAAACCGTCGTTTAGGAACATGACAAAGAACATTCTCTCTCGAGCGCTAAATGATCACAAGTGTATACAAATTCTAATGAATGACATGAATTAAATTTGAGTAATAAAATAACAGTATCTAAATTAAAGAAAGCATTATATTTAAGGGTGTGGGTGTGGGGTGTGGGTGTGGGTGTGTGGGTGTGGGTGTGGGTGTGGGTGTGGGTGTGGGTGGGTGGGTACGGGGTACGAGTGTCTTTTCTAACGTTCACCCACACCCACACCCACACCCACACCCATACCCATCACTAGAGTCGGCCAAAGCTACCAAATACTTACCCCAGTAGGCAGCGCATCGATCTTCTAACGATTTCTTGTCCATAGCAAAAGCGAAAAAGTTCATATCCCACTGTAAACAGAACATTACGTTACGTAGACATGTGTAATAAAAGTGCGAAAGTTCATTTCTTTGATTATTGGAGAGAAGCGGGAAGAGAGCATAGATCCAGGTGAACANTTCATAATTGAACCGATTTATCAACGTAAAAGGACCTGAAGCAACGCAAATTAACGAAGTTTTTTCTTAGGGCGAAAAAATTCGTCGGTAAATGTACGGTGAAAAACGGATGAAGAGTGCGTGAAAACGTCGTTTTATTTTTAGGGATGCGTGAAAACAGCGTTTTCACAGATTTCAAACGCGTTTTTACGCGTTTTTTGAGGGTCGTGTCTGTCTGGGTGGTGATGTTTTATCACGAGGAGATCATTTTATTCGATGCATTTTGAGATATATTCCTTCATTCCACTTTTCGTTTAACCCTTAAGAATGTCAATAAGGAAGTAGATAAGGTATATATTCTTATCTTATGAGAAAATTTGTCTGAATTTAGTATTGCTCGCGCTAATTTATAGCGATGGAAGAAAAATATCATTTGACCTTTACAATTCAAAGAAAACTTGGAGTCTCTGAAAAAATCTTCGAAGAAGAAATCAGACAACTAGACAATACAAGGACTAGAAATTCGGAACTCGAGAATTCCGAGTGTTCGCGCAAAGTTCAGGCAATTCAATACGTGTAAAGTCTGTTTTCTTTCCCTTCCGATTGCAGTGCATTGAAAATTTCATTAAAGCTTATAGTGTCACGAAGGACAAGAAAAAGACTGCATTCAAACAGTCAGTTTCCAAATTATCTCGTAATCGTTTCGTGCATGATAATTTAAGAAAGGCTATTCATCAAAGTTATGATCTGGCTTAACACCTTCTTTCAGACTTCGGTGTTTAGTTTGCTGAGAAGAAAATGAGAGGATCTGCAATAATACTAAGTGAATCATTTGTGCAAGTCTGACTTGAGAAAAATCCATGTTGTTTCATATGACGAAAGCCATTACAATTTATTGGATCAAGACTCAAACTAACACGTAAACTCTTAAGTTGCTTTTTTTATTGAAATCAGACAAATATAGCTGATCGTAGGACATAATTTATTACTTCTCTTCTTTGTCAGTTAGCGAAAAATCTTTACTTCAGCTCATAAGAGTCTTGAAGAGACCTTCTCTTTCACTCGGAGTCTCTCTTCTCTGGTTTCGAAATTCATGTCAAAAACAATATAGTCGTATAAAGAAAGCCTCTTGCTTTATGTCAGAAAGTACGACTGCGCTGCTATCTAATCGACTCAGGCATATTCTACTATCAGATTACTAAATGAATAAACAGTTACAGATGAAATGCTGTAGATTCACTGGATACGGTGTATCTCTTCTATTACTTATTGATTTGTCTAATGTCTCATTGCTCTTAGTTATTCTGCTTGATGAATTTTGCGAGAAAAATATGAAAGTGACCAGCTGTATTGTAAAAACCAACTTTATACTCATCTCATTACTAAATGTCTAGAACTTTCAAAATAAACAATATTTTGCCCCAATAGCTTTCTACAGCTTTTTAAACTGTATTATAGAGCAATGAAGCTCTGACTCTGACTTCTATAAGACTTTTAGAACTATAATTGAGATCCTAGAGATTCAATATAAATTTCGGAAATGCAAATTATTATTATAAATGTCCCGTCAATCCCATGAATATCCCGGAAATCCGAAATCCGCCGTTTCCCCCTTGGATTATGATTACCATGAGTTGAATTCCTATATATGATTGAATAGTTAATTACATTTACAACAGCTCGACAGCCACCAGCTTTTTACGTACATAGAAATCCACGTTCATTATTCTTTAATGATTCATGAATTAAACTGTAAGCCTATCCATCCATACACACACGATCATTAGCACGATTAGTTTTATACTATTTTATTTCATCTACAATAATTGACCATTGCAACGACAAATTCGATTGAGTAGCTTACCACCACTCACGGAAAGGATGTTTGTTGAGGTACTTCACATCTCGAGAATGTAACTAAGTAGTTCACATACAACACACGCTTACATAGGAGAAAGGAAGAGAGCGAGATGAACATAGGAAAGAACAATCTATATAAGATAAAGAGGAAAGGGAAGTCAGTGGGAGGTGATATCAATATTGGCACAACCATGTTGTCACTACATTTACATTATTTTTCATAAATCAACATTATATGAATGATTTTATTGTACAGTTCAATCTAATGTCATAAATGATGTTGGTGTTACTGATATTATATTACTGATGGATGATGTTCGTCGAACATCTGTTGCTATTGTTGTATCTGATTGCAACGATGAGGAAGTAGCGATTGTTTCACTAAATTGTTTAGCTATTTCTTTTTTCACTTTAACATGGTTTTTTCCTACTGAACCAGTTGCAACAATATCAGCAGCTACGTCCGATGATGGTTGTTCACGTGCTGATGAAGCACGGATGGCTATTACTACTTTTGGATAATTAATGAAATACACATTCAGTATTTCGTGCAAAAATGAAGAATTGAAAGAAAACGTTGTTTTTTAAAATCACCAACACGAAACGAGATATTGTTATATACGTATATACCGATCCATAAATCACAATCAAACAGTCGATGAACACATGGAAGAGATACGCACAAAAAAAGGAAAAATACAAGTAGAGACATCATAATCTTCATGAAATGAATAGTAGAGAAAAGAAGAGCAGATCCTTGATTACGAGTAGAGAAAAGAATTCCGATGAATTTGGCGACAATGCATTTTGTATCGAAAATATATAAACAAGAACACGAAGAGAAGAAAATGTATGCATGCAAAAGAATAGGAATACACAAGTTATTTATGAAATCGGTNCTTCATTTATTTGCAGTGGAGCATCAAAGTAGTGACCTCAAAATATGGATTTTCATTGATGAGACACAGATCAATTGCGTAACACAGGTAAAATCGATTGGGGGAAACGTGGGGAACCGACGCCTACACATGAAATATCTTCTCTTCGTGCTTATGCCAACTTATGGGGTACAGTTTGGTGGAACGGCAAAACGTTCGCAAGACTGCTTTCATCGACTAATTTTTTAATGGTTTCTAGTATTTAATCAATTTAAAACAGAAAACTTAAAGAAACAGAAAAGCTGAATATGAGTATCGAAGAACAGTGTATGTGATAAAAATATTATCTTTTTTTAATGTCCTTATAAAACGTAAAATAAACGATATAGTCAGCGGGCGAAACTTTTGTCGTCGACTAATTTGATTTTCATATTCTTGTCTGCTTATTCCAATCTGAAAAACAAATTCGATTCGATCGGATTTTGAACTATTTTGTACAAAAAAAATACAAAACTGAGTTCAATCGAATTTGTTTCTCAGATTGGAATAAGCAGACAACAATATGAAAACCGAATGTAACACGAAAAACAGCGAATTTTTTATATAGTCACATAAGAGGAATTAAGACATTTATATACTTTGGAACAAATTACTACATACAGAGGCTAATCATATGCCACATCTCTGACTAGTACTACCTAGTATACGTGGCATAAATATGAGATGTAGCTTTTGATGCATAAAGACAAAAAAATCGAAAAAATTATTTGTTCTGTTACTTATTGGTCCATTCGGTATAAATATGGCATAACAACAACATATTTACTGAAATAAAAACAATTCAAGATGTAACCTGTTGTTTATCTCTAACTCGTGATACTTGATCGGAGGATAATGAAGTTCTATCTTTTTTCAAAAGGCAGCAAGTGGCTTGTTTATGAAGATATTGTTTATCACCATTAATTATAGCTTGAAAGTAAGTATGAGCAAATTCTTCTTTCACATTGTCGGCCAATCTTATCCCACGATTTACAGATATGTAAACATTATGTATAGTATCATAACTATCATCTAAATATACTTCTTCATCACTGTCATTATCATATCCAAGATTGTTTTGAATACTACTGTCTGTTTCGTCATCTGACTCAGTATCTAAATATACATTTTTTTGGTTACTATCATCATTTTTCGTTATCGAAAACTCCTCCAGTCGAGATGAAATGGTATTACTAAATTCTTGAATTGCAATTGTTTGTCCATTTCGTAACAACTGTTTGATTTTAAGTGGTTTAAAAAGATTAGTCACATATTTATATGCATTAAGAACACTATTTTTAATATCAGTCTTTGAAATAAAAGTTGTATTTGATGAGTTTGAGGTATTTCGTAATGCTGATGATACTTTATGATGTTGAGGAAAACGTAATTTGTTTTCATATGTGTTATTTTTGATATTTTGTAATGTGGATAATTTATTGATTCGATTACGAAACTGTGAAACGGTAAAGTTCACACCTGCTGAATTAATATTAGATATGGATCTAGCCGATCTAAAGGTAGTTTCGCAAGTTTGAGAATTTTGTAACCATATATGAAGAGCTTCAAGAGGAAGTTGTCCTTATGAGACAAGTACAGTAAGATATATAAGACTACGAGCATTAATTTCGACTGAGAAGTACTGTTGGTACCTGGTAAAGTATTTAAATTTTGTGCTACATTTCTATTTATTAGATGTGGTTTAGTCGGATAGTTGCGTGAAAACTAAATTAAGATCGTGTTTTTCCATTGAATTAATCCACATAAATGAAAATTGGAAAACAAACACCACGATTCACATATGAAATATCCGGTCCATAATATCTGTTGTTTTTTCTATATAACCGAGTTGAGTGCTTTTGATAGCCTGTAACAAAAAACCACAGTTAATAGTTATTATCACAAAACTTTAAAATGATAATCTATGACCTTGCTCAGATCTTTTTGTCTAGTAATTAAAAACTCGAGTTTTTGAAAAACAATGAAAACCTTTCCAATAGCTTGACAAAGGTGCTCAGACTATGTTGATCCTAATCAGAGATACTATCGATTCGATTCCGTTCACAAACCGAATCGAGCTCATCTCTGACCCTGATGAAAAAGGTAATCATTAAAAATTTTCGATTAGTATCAATCAATGTATTTGAGTATATTTAAACAACTTTCCTTAAATTCACTTTAAATAATTATCTATTTTCAAATTGAATAGGATCCGAAATTACTTTATCTATTTTCAAATTGTTTCTGTTACCTACATTTAGATGATTACTAATACTAATAGCATTTGGAACTTGCTCAAGAAAATTAAAAAGGTTGCCGTTTGAAATCTTTCTGCAAGATTTTAAATTCTGTTGATCCTTAGAATGGATATCATACCTAACAAGTGCATGATAAAATTTAGAAAATTCTTCAATTATATAAAGAAGTGGTTCAATATTGATTAATTGATTATCTAAAAGAAGTGTTGCCGTTTTTGAAAAAAGTCGGTTGCATACTTTTGTACATATATGGATCGGATCCTGTATACATACATATAACTATCTGTGTTGCATAAAAAACCGGAACTAGCTAGTTGGAAGGTCAATTGTAAGAATATCTGGATGGTCATCATAAGTAAAATTACCAAAAAAACCACGAGATATTCTCATGGCATGCAAATAACGACTGTCACAATCGATTGCATAGCCAATAATACAAATACTTTTAGCTTTGTATTCTTCATAAATATGACGCCAACGTAAAATAACATCTGATGATTCAGATTTATTATCTGTTCTCTACTCTGCAAGAAGATACGGCCAGACGTTGTTAACTGAGGTAGAAAGTGGCTGGAGAAGACGAACGTTGAGCGATTTTGTCTATGGTAGATCAGAATAGAATTGTTCAAAACAAGTGAACGAGTCTGTTGAATATTAGTCGAGGATGTGGGTGTGGGTGAAGAAACAACATACACTCACACCCACACCACACACCAAGGGGGAAACGACGTACTTCAAGTCGAAAAGTACATCAAAGTACAAAAGTAGTCCAAAGTAGTCTAAAGTAGCGTAAAGTAGCGTAAAGTGGCGTGAAGTAGCTTAAAGTAGCTTAAAGTAACTTCAAAGTAGTTCAAAGTAGCTTAAAGTCGCTCAAAGTACTTTAAATGACATCCAAGTACTTTAACAGTCCTGAAAACTCTGAAACTGAATAAAATAAAATAAAATCATGCTGAAAAATGTATACGATAGCTTTATGCACTTTTACGTTATAAAAAAAGCTTGTCAGCGCAGCTGCTTTGTAGCTGAAATGTGGAACTCACATATTCTGTAAAAGAAAACACGTTATTTACTTGTAATTCCTTTTGTAATAAAGTATGGTATGAACTATACAACAAGTGAAAAGCAACAATGAAGTATAATTTCGCTGATTCATGGTGGTCAATATCATCAAAGAAGTATAAAAAAGCTTTCAATCTTTTTATCAATTGAATTAAGTTCTTCTGGTTTTTAGTATGTGCATAAGTACATATAACAGCGATTAGTCAAGGGATAGGAATTGACATAATGCTTCAGGAAATAACACTTCTTCCTTAATGAAAGAAGTAAGAAAATAAAATCTAGTGAATATGTTCAATGTTCCAGTTGCTTATTTAATCGGAATTATTCTGAAAAATCATAATAGAAATGAATATCAAGTGAATTCGAACATTTTCCAAAAAAGTTGTAATCGACTAGTAGTAGAATTTAATGAATTTCTCTGTTAAGTCCGCCGTATTATGATAAATGGTAATGATCCCATTTTTAAACAAACGATATGACAACACAATGCAGCAACAGTTCATCATCTACGCATGAACCAGTCCATGTAAGCCACGACCGAAAGTACACAATTCATGTCCTCGGATTCCTCTCCTTTTCATATATGTGGCACAGGCAAGCATTTTATGCATTTTGGTGAAAACCGATTCAAAAAATATGGAACCGTTGGCTTTTTATTCGAGTTCTACGACGAACCCTAGAAAATTCTACTTTTACTAAAGCCGATTTTCAGCATCCTATATCTCAAGAACAGTTCAGCCGATTAAGCTGAAATTTTCTGCAGTTTCATACATCATTTAGTTCTGCGCATTCAAAAATTGACAACACTATCGGAGTATTTCTTGGTATTCTATGGATGTCACAAAACCCGGCCAAATCAATTTTTTTAACAAATTTAACGGTTACTATCTCCGAATCCGAACTGAAAATAGAGACGAGTCCGAAATTTTCATTATACATACATCTCGGTTGTATCTCTCTACAGGTAAAATGTCAGCTTCTTTCAGAGAAGCATTCGGTCTGGGTACTCTGGACAAAATCGGATTTTCATCAAAAACTCGATATTTGCTTTCGATTTTCTAGACTGGTCGTATCTGGAATTTTACCGGAGTTCT